AATAGCATGGCTGTACTTTATGCAGCCTGCATTGCAAACTTCAAATGTGCAACTTCCCATGTGTGTACATAAAGCCTGTTCATTGCCTATAGAAAACAAATAAAGAAATAAAAAATAAATAATAAATAGTAATAATATTCATAGAACATTTCATAAGTTGGTTAATTGCACGTAGAACCCCATGTAGTTTCATTGTTGCATATGGATCAGCTGGGCTAGATTTTTTTGGAGTCTTTATCCCTAAGACCAAGGGCAATATCTGCCAAAATTAGCTAAGGGTCAAAAAGTAGATATTTAGCTTAACAGCTTGAGGGCTAACAGCCTGAGAAGACGAGATGACAACCAACAAGGAGGAAAGCTGCAAGAATAGATTTCAAGAATGTAGAAGAATTTATTTGTGGGTGATTTAGGTTGAGTGGTCTATAACTATTTATAGATAGTAAATGAACATGCGTACTACTTGTTGAATATAGTAGGGTAATGAATATAGTAGGTACTATGAGTCTATGATATCCCCTATCTTTTGTATTTGGTAATGTCGTAATGCATAAACCTATGGTTGGTAGCGCATAAGCCACCTTATTACCTACCTATATTCCATTGATACGTAGAACCCTCTACTTCTTTCTTTGGGTGGCTAGTATTTTCATTAGGTGATAATAGGCAGGGAAAATTCAATACATTTGTAATATAGCACTTTAAAAGATTTTTATCTTTATGGATGGACATATTTATATGTACTCAATGCATTTGAAACTTAGCATTCTAAAAGAAAATCTCACATATATAGGCAAGAAAAAATTATATGTAGCAAGCGAGTTTGTGTTCTCTCAGAACCAACCGCTCGCTCGTATGCGAGCAGGCGGTTCTGAGCCACAAATGGGAATAACATGAGAGTTGTTTCGTAATTGCCCCTCCCCATTTGCGGCTCAGAACCGCCAACTCGCACGCGGACGGTTTTGAGAGGACCCCTATTCGTAACAAATAGGCCACAAAATCTTATTGTGGAATGTGGGTTGGTAACATGTATACCACATTTATTCTTTTCTTTCTTTCTTTCTTTTTTTTTTGTTTGGCTGAGTGCAAACTGTCATCTGGCTGGAACAGAAAATTTCTCTCTTATTATGGAAAAAATTCTTACTTTTGTTGCAGGATATGAAATTTTACAAGATATATGCATAGCGAAATGTCACAGTTCTACGTCCAATACTAGAAAAATAGGATTTTTGGGCAATTAAACTAGTAAAGTATTCAACAATACAGAACCAATATTAACGTCCCCTTAGAAAGCTTGAATTTTAGAATGAGTTGCATAAGCTCAACTTTTAGTTATTGGTTGTGTGAGCTCGAGAAAAAGTCTGAAATTTTTTCTTAGCGTTTTTAGCCCTTAAATCATAAATTTGTAGATTTAATGTATTTATCCAATGTGACAATATTAAATTCCTCGTATGGAAAATATCAAACAAACTGTGTAAATTTTTTTACCTACCTTCTTGAGTGTAACCGGGTACAAATTCCACTAATAACTAAAGATAAATAGATAGATATACTTACCAGCTTGAGTCCTAATGGCCTGAGAAGATGAGACAATGACGGTGAGGAGAAAAGCTACAAGAATAGATTTGAAGAATGCAGAAGCAGCCATTTTTGTGGGTGATTTGAGGTTAAGTGAGCTAAATTCATTTATATAGTAAATGAGTATACAACTAAATTAGAAAAACAGATTATAAAAGATTATGAGGCATTAATGCATTCTCCTTCTCTAAACAGCTATTAATCAGTACATAATCTATTTCTTTATGTAGATGATTCGTTTGAAATTTTATTTGTAGAAACATTGAACCCTCTTTCTTTGGATGGTTATGATATCCGATATGAAAATTTCCTCTTTTATGTAGATGATTAATTTGAGATTTTATTTGTAGATACATTGAATCCTCTATTTCTTCCTTCGGATGGTTATAATATCCCATATGAAAATTTCTTCTTTAATGCTAGTGTTGGTGGCTAGTATTTTCATTAGGTGGAAAATTTTATGCATTTGTAATAATATACACTTGACATTTAATTATATCTTTGTCAATGGAAAAAATTATATGTTCTCAATACTTTTCGGACTTTGGATTCTAAGATACTAGTGTGCACCCCGTGCATAGCACGGCCTCCATTTTTTTATTTCTGCTACAGTAATGTTGTATTTAAATACAATTTTTTGTAAGCGATACAGTAACAATTTTAAAAATACTACAATTTTCCGCCTGAGCTACAATAATAATGTTACAATAATGTTTTTAAACACTACAGTTCTCTCCTGTGCTATAGTGATAATGCTACAGTATTTTGTTGTGGCATAAATAGTGAATTTTGGATCCTCATGCTTGTACTACAGTAATACTGCTATAGTAATTTATTGTATTATTTACTGTAGCATGAATAGTAAATCTTGGATCCTCCCATTATTATAGAAGAATAGATATTACATATTAATTCATTACTTTTTTGCTAATTGCAAACTCATCTGCCTGGGACAAAAAAATCACCCTCTTTTTTATATTGAGGATTTCAAACTAAAGATTTAAAAGGCATATATATATGAGAAATATGTAGAAACTAGGTACAAAGTTCTTTATTGAACTTGGTAATGAGGTGGCCAAATCACCCCCCTACATCATGCCTCGAAGATGGAGCCTATTTTTAAAAGTAGGTGATGCTCTCTCTTCGAGGCGTGATGTAGGGTGGGGATTTGGCCACATTACTACCAAGTTCAATGGAGGAACTTGGTACCAAGTTTCTCCATATTTCTCTCTCTCTCTCTCTCTCTCTCTCTATATATATATATATATATATATATGTGTGTGTGTGTGTATATATATATATATGTATATATATATATATATATATGTATATATAT